GATAACTATCATGTTTTAACAAGATAAGTATCACGTTTTAACGAGATACGTATCACGTTTTAACGAGATACTATCACGTTAACGTGATACGTATCTTGTTAAAACGAGATACGTATCACGTTTTAACGAGATACGTATCACGTTTTAACGAGATACTATCACGTTAAAACGTGATACGTATCACGTTAAAACGAGATACGTATCACGTTAAAACGAGATACGTATCACGTTTTAACGAGATACGTATCACGTTATAACGTGATAGCGCTTGGATTTTTTTTTCCCTGCGTGATAGCAATACGCTTCCGTAGAATGAGAATAAAGAGTTTTAGGAAAAGAAAGGACGACAGAAAATTGTCTGACATTTTACTTTTTATTCTCATTTTCATTTCTTGTTCAATTATTTTGTTGTTTAGTATAAATTGAAAATTGGGAAATGGAAAGACCACTTTATTTGACCTGGTATACTATTTGCAGACCAGGTAATTAAAACATGACCTGATTAAGATGACTCCTGCTGTTCATGGTGTTTCTATTCTGGTAGAAGGCTTTTACAAAACACAGTAGCAGCAAACAAGCTGCATTTTTTTTTTTTTTTTGAAAAAACAAAGACTAGATCAGAGGTGGGCAATTCTGGTCCTCGAGGGCTGCAGCCCTGCATGTTTTACTTTTTTCCCTGCTCCAAAAAGTAGAACATGCAGGTGCTGCAGCCCTCGAGGACCAGGATTGCCCGCTCCTGGACTAGATGCACTCTTAACTGTAGATGTAATTAAAAATATAGTTGCTTTTACGCAAGGTCGTTTGCAGGAAATATTGGTTCCCACATTTAGAAAGACCCCTTAAATACTGAGCTGTTGATCTGCAGCACATCAGTGGGCCAACAATAAATCTTTCATTTATACTTCAATGATTAAATGTGGTAATTAGGTGCTCATTATGAAAATTTGATATATCAGCTTAAAGATAATCTACTAGTGTAACCAAGCAACATTTAAATTTAAACACATATTTAGTGAAGTACTGTGTAATTATTGAACAGTTAATTTGAAGGGTCTTATGAAATCCATTTTTTCCCCCAAAAATTCTGTTTTTCCTCTTTTGATTTTTCTAAATTCTGTTTTTTCTGAATTCCATATTTTTATTCCAACTATATTTATTAATCTAAAATGTGTGTAATTATTTGTAATGTGTGTAATTTGGGTGGCTGTGGCAGAGTGGTTAGGGGAGTCATCCTGCCGGTTTGATCCCCCGTCCAGCTGTCTCAGTTGTTGTGTCCTTGGGCAAGATACTTCACCCCTAATGCCTCTGATGTGTCCCATCAGTGTACGAATGTGATTGGCACTGATTAGTCTCCATAGATGATTGTACATGTTAGCTTTGTAGGCCTAATAGAGTGCTGTGTGAATGGGTAAATGAGGACACAGATTGTAGTGTGAAGAGCTTTGAGTGTCCTGGATGGATAGAAAGGTATAGTCCAGTACAGTCAATTTACCATTTATAAAGTGACTGAAAAATAATTTAACAAATGAATAGCCACAGAATTCAAAGTTTAATGGCTGTTATTTCACTTTCACGCCTCATTTCTGCTAATGTTGTTAATGTCGGAGTTTTACAGACATGTGTGGCTTACTTCTCCTGTTTCAGACAGGAAGTGGTCATCACATGTATTCTTACTCATCAAGTCAAAACTTACAGCAAAGTTGTTTTCTACATTTATAAAAAAATCACCGGGGTGTTGTCCTGCTCTGTTTTTTCATTAAGCTTAGTATTTTTAAATTTAGAGGACGGTAGTGTTTCAGTGAATCCCTTTGCCACGACTGACCACCCACGTGTGTGTAACCTGGTATCGACAGCTACACGGAGTGACAGCGGACAAAATGCTTAAGTAACTTGATCAAATAAGCACAGTCTGTAACATTCTGCATTTTATACTGGATTCCATTTTGTTCAATAAATTCCATCGGAGTTTTCATCTTTGTGGAAATCATAGAGCCCTAGTTTGGTCCATTTTAAAATAAATTTTTGTTGTTATTTAAAAAAATCTTTATTTTCCTCAAGGACAGCAGAAGGTGATTTTATCCTTTCTTTGGGGACCAAAATCATTTTTTTCCAGGGTTCATATTATATATAAAAATTCTAAATGTACAAACTGATATATATAATAGCAAAAATCTGTTGTAGAAACACATTGATGGATTACTGTTGTGTAGGAGAAATAAAGGACTTTCTTCACACTTTCAAAGAAGTTATTTTTTCCTCCTATAGTGGATCATGGATGTTTTGGTCTGCAACGGTTTGGGGATCTACTGTGGCATGAAGACCCTGGCCTGGTTGTCCATGAAGCCGTACCAGTGGCAGGGCCTCTGGAATATTCCTACATACAAGTACAACTTTATAAAAGCTTTTGTATTTTCTGTCCCAAAACACTTATTTTTTGATATTTTACTTCCAAAGAGTCAGACTTTCATGTATTAGCTCACAGTGGTCTGAAACACTTTTAAGCTTTCTTGAGGTTCTAAAAGATTTCTTTGGCCTTTGCCAAATTAGACTTAAACTGTCATGGCAGTTGTGCGTTTCCTTGAAGAATTTAGGGGAACTGGGAAACAGCTGGCCTAAAAATAAATTCAGCAGAGATCAGCAGGATTAGAAGCTGAAGTTAAAAAGCAGGAAGCAGGGAAAATCTAGAAAGATTGATCTGATGACACAGTTTTGGCTAAAGACTTTAGGAGTCATTTCGTTGTTCTTGATGAGGGGAAAAAAACCCAGCACTGGCATCCTTTAGGGTTGAATGACTTTTTATGGTTGAATGATTCATAGGTCACTCAGTGTTCTAAAACTTTAAAAAAATTCTTTAAAAACTGTCAATTTGAAGCCTGAATTCAAAATTACAGATTAAGCAGCTCATCAGCTGCTTAAGCTGGGAAAAACTAAATCAGAATTGGTCTCATTGCAGTGCTTCCTGACTCCTTTGAAACCAAAAATGAGTAATGACTAGACTTTAGACAAAGAACTGAGAATATTAAATTAGTTTACCTACAACCAGTTTCCACTCTGTCAGATATAGATGTTTATTTTTGTCTAACAGTACCCTCTCTCTTTGTTCCTCAGGGGCAAGATAAAGCGAATAGCATTCCAGTTCACACCATACAGCTGGGTAAAGTTTGAGTGGAGGCCGGCATCAAACCTTCGTCGCTGGCTCGCTGTGCTGGGCATCATCTTCATGGCAAGAAAATAATTTTACTAGTTTAGAACAAAAACTGAAAGCTTGGCTTATTGTTTGAAAGAAGTTGGTTAATTGAAGGGCATAAAAGCTTATCTATTTTTTTTATTCGTGTTTTCAGATTTTTATATCATTTTTCATCTGTATATTATCCTTACTGTGCCTGAATTAGTTTTTATTTATTTATTTATTTGCTTTTGTTCCCTCTGTTGTTAGTTCCTCCTGGCAGAGCTGAACACCTTCTACCTGAAGTTTGTTTTGTGGATGCCTCCTGAACACTACCTGGTGCTGCTCCGCCTCGTGTTTTTTGTCAATGTAGGGGGCGTCGCCATGAGGGAGATCTACGACTTCATGGACGACCCGTGAGTAGCCAAGTCGAATAATATTTGTATTTTTGTGTTGCTCAGATCATATCAACAGTAAAAATCTGTACATTTTCCTGAATTCTCCCAACAGGAAGTTCCTGAAGAAGCTTGGGCAGCAGGCGTGGCTTGTGTCAGCAATAACAGTGACAGAGTTCCTCATCGTGGTCAAGTACGACCCCCACACCCTCATGCTGCCTATACCCTTCTTCGTCATGCAGTGCTGGTTCTTAGGAATCTTTCTCATATTCATCTGGACCCTGTGGCGCTTTTTCATCCGGTAAGAGAACTACAAATGTTGAAAAAGGATCCATGATCATTATGCTTAAAAAAGACAATTTAAACTTATGATCTGTTTACTTGAGGGTGGTAAGAGTTTAACAAAACAATACTAATAAAATGAAATAAATGGTCTGCACTTTGTAAATGATCAGTTTACTATTTGCAGTGAGTTTAGGTGGGTTCAAATTGTTGTTTTAGAGCAGCTAAGACTTTTGACTCTAAATGTGTTTCAGAAAGGGGTGCAGGATTTACTTTATATTTTGAACCAAGATATTTGATTCAAAATTTAACCTTGAGAAGCAAATTAGTAGTTAATTAGTTCTGTAGTAAAATAATGTATTTTGGATTTTAGCCTTTTCTTTGAAGTGTTTCTATACTTTGATGATTTTAAACAGTGGTTTAAACCTTTATTACCTCCCACCTGGATAATTGTAATTCTCATCATCATCACTTTATTTATATTGCACATTTAAAAACAACAGTGTTGACCAAAGTGCTTCACAGACACAATACAATAAAACTAGTAACAAGCCAAAAACAAATAAAAAGACACAGATTACAAATTACTGAGTTAGCTCAAACTGAATTTGAATTAAAAGCCAGTGTAAAAAAGTGAGTTTTTAAGCCAGATTTAAAAGACTGAACAGACTGCAGTACGGATCTCAAGAGGCAAGTTGTTCCAGAGTCTAGGGGTCACCACAGCAAAAGCCCCTTCCCCTCTATGCTTTAGTTTTGCCTTTGGCTGCACTAAAATCATCTGATTAGAGGATCTCAGTTCTTTGTGTGGGGTATAAAAGTGCAACAGGGCCAATAAATAACTGGGTGCCAGACCATTTAAAGCTTTAAAAGTTTTCATATTGATTTTAAGATTCTTTCACTTAAAAGAATCTTAAAATCAATACGAAAGTGAACAGGCAGCCAGTGTAAGCCAGATAAAACAGGAGTTATGTGGTCCTGCCTTCTAGAACCTGTTAAAAGATGCGCAGCAGTGTTCTGGACTAACTGCAAGCGATGGAGAGATGATTGTTCCAAACCAACGTATAAAGAGTTGCAACAGTCCAGTGTAGATGTAATAAAAGCATGGATAAGAGTTTCAAGGTCTTTGTGGGGAATGTAAGATTTTGCTTTGGCGATTAGATGGAGCTGATAAAAACTGGTTTTTAACAACTGAAGATATTTGTTTCTCAAATTTAAAAGAACTGTCTAAAAACACTCCAAGATTCTTGACCACAGAGGAACACTAACGAACAAGTGGGCCAACAATTCTGGGTAAACCATCAAGAGGAGAGCGATTACCAAACAAAACAACTTCAGTTTTGTCTTCATTCAAAGTCAAACAATTCTGGGATAACCAGTCTTTGACGTCCTGGAGACAATTTAAAATTATCTGCATGTTTGTAGGACTGCAATTAGTTCAGAAGGCTGCAGCTCCTCTTTTAACTCAAAGAACATGATCCCATCTCCTCAGTGCTGACTTCCCTTCAATGGCTCCCTGTTTGGTTTAAAATAGATTTTGAGGGTTTATGATGACCCTGAATGGACTGGCTCTTGTAGACTTGTCTGACCTCCTGCAGTCTTATGTTGTCCTGAGGTCCAGGCTGGTCCACTGAGGCAATCTGGCCTGCTATTTAGTTGCAGCTTCTAAACTGTGGATCTAGCCGCCTCTTCATGTTAGACGTTGTGGTGTTTTATCCATCCTACAATAATGTTTTTACTGTTTATTTTGCTACTCATGCCAGTTGTTACTTACACTTCCATTTTTTATCCAAATCTATCATTTTTGGTTTTATTTTTTCTTGACATGTTTTTAATTGTTTTTGGATATTTGTTGTAAAACTGTTGTTTTTGTGTGCAGCACTTTGGCTGGAGGGGGTTGTTTTTAGATGTGCTTTATACAGTGGGGAAAAAAAGTATTTTGTCAGCCACCAATTCAAGTTCCCCCACTTTAAAAAATGAGTGGCCTGTAATTGACATCATAGTTAGACATGAACTATGAGAGACAAAATGAGAAAATATATCTAGAAAATCACATTGTCTGATTTTTTAAAGAATTTATTTGTGAATTATGGTGGAAAGTAAGTATTTGGTCAATAACAAGTAAGATTTCTGGCTCTCACAGATCTGTAACTTCTTTAAGAGGCTCGTCTGTCCTCCACTCATTACCTTTATAGTCCATGGACTAGGGTGGCCCCCCACAACACACACACACACACACACACACACACACACACACACACACACACACACACACACACACACACACGTTTGTTTCTCGACCCCCGTGGGGACCTTCCATTGACTTCCATTCATGTTTCTTAAACTTTATAGCCTAACCCTGACCATATACTCTAAAATTAACCTCACAGAAACTTACCTGACCCTAAACTAACCTAAACCTTGGTCCTAAACCTAACCCCACACCTGGAACATGCATTTGGACCCGTGGGGACCTGACAGTGGTCCCCACGATTCACTTCGGTCCCCACCTCGCTGCTTTTTTGTATAAAAAAATACCCCACGTTGTAGGAAAAACCCGTATACACACACACACACACACACTACTGAACTTCTCTGATGTTTTCATGTACCCTAGGCTCCACTCTTTCAGAAAATGCATGTTAACAGAAAAAAAGTTGGGTCTCACTGCCCCACACCCCTTTTCTATTGTGACCATCAAAATTAGGGGTACAGGGAACCTAACTGCCAATAATTTTGCTATAAACCAACCAAATTTTACAAACAAGGTATCAGCAGATTCGTATTATTAGTTGTTCAATGTAAATGACATTTCATTAAGCAAATATGTGCTCAGTTATGTCATCAGGGGATCAAAATGTCACTACCCCAACAGAAGATGAAAATTTTCATATTTTTAGTCTGTAGGTTAAGGTGGGTCATCATGTACACCCCACTACTGAACTTCTCAGGTGTTTTCATGTACCCTAGGGTCCACGCTTTCAAAAAATGCATGTTAACAGAAAAAAAGTTGGGTTTCACTGCCCTCCAGGGACCACTTTGTGACAACACCCCTTTTCTATTGTGACCCATCAAAATTAGTGGTACAGAAAACTTAAATGTCAATAACTTTACTGTAAACCAACCAAAATTTAAAAACAAGGTATCAGCTGATTCATATTGATTAGCTCTTCGCTTTAAATGACTTTTCATTAAACAAATTTGTGCTCAATGATGTCATCGGGGGATCAAAATGTCACTACCCCAACAAAATATGAAAATGTTCATCTTTTTAGTTTGTGGGTTAAGGTGAGTCATCATGCACACCTCTTGACTGAACTTCTCTGGTGTTTTCATGTACCCTAGTGTCCACACTTTGAAAAAAAAAAGCATGTTAACAGAAAAAAATTTGGGTCTCACTTCCCCCCGGTAATACAAATTAAATTTATACGGAGCCCGCAAAGGGACATAGGGGGGATTTTTTTTCTTTTGCGTTCCCACGCAATGCTATTGTTTTACCTCGCAATATCTTTGCGTTACCTCGCAAACGTTTGCATTCCCTCACAAAATTGTTTTGTGTTCCCACGCAAAAGTTTGTTTTGTATATGAACTGAATCAAATCAGACTTGTATTTTGAAATATCCGGTTACCAAAACAGGATGTGTCACCACAAGTTTGTGAAATTGACATTGATGCTGCGTGGCTGCATTGTGTTAAAATATCAACATATGACATATTCCCATCCGTGGCTGTGTAATATATTCATTCTGAGGCGGAATTAGTCACCATACGTGATGACGTAACTCATTCAGAATCAGAAAGAGCTTTATTGCGATTGTCAGTGATAAACACAGACTAGGAATTTGCAGTTTAGAACATCCGTTAGGAGAAGACACACATAACAAACATGGGAGAACGAATGTCCATAGTCTTTCGCACTAAGGTGCGCTACCTTTTGCAAAATCGAACGGCTCTTTTGAACAGCTCTATGAAACAAATGGCTCCCCAAGATCCAGATCCGTTCAAAGAGCCATTTATCCCATCACTAATCAACATATGACATACTTCCACGCGTGGCTGTGTAATTAATTGATCTTCGGAATAAATATAAGTAGTAGGCTAACTTGCTAATGGTGAGCATGTGAATTTCTTAATAAGCCGGCAGGCACAACAGTGATAAATGACTTTGCGAGGGAACGCAAAAGGTATTGCGAGGTAATGCAATACTATTGCCTGGGAACGCAAAAGAAAAAAAAATCTCCCATGTCCTCTCGTGGGCTCTGTAAATTTAAGACTTTTTCATGTTATGTTGTTTTTATTATTTTAAAAAGCTTTTTCTCATTTAATAAATATTAGTAATATTTCTGCTGTTAATCATAATTCTCTGTTCATCATTCTGGTTTAGCCAAGGCCAAAGATCCTGAAGGCCAAACTACAAGAGTTGCCCATCTGAGTGGCAGGTGTAGTCTAAAAGACAAAACCATGAAATGTTTATGATGTTTAAAAAATGTTCAGCCCTTAAACATTTGTACTTAGGATGTAGAAATTCTTTCATTTCATTTATCTTGAGATGTTTTAAGTTAAAATTTCAGGTCATAGAATTACTTTAAAATTACTTTTCAGTAAGTTATAAGTCTACAATTCTGGTTCAAATATAGAACTATATTTTTGCTAGATTGTTAAATTATTTGTGAATTAATGTTGCCTTAATAGACAATGATTTTAAAAAAGTGAACCATTAAAACATTAATGTTAAATGTGATGCATTTGCAAATTTGGTTGCACCTAACTTTTGTACTGGTGCACCTAAGGAAAAATGTTAGGCTCACCGGTGCAACCAGTGCAAAAAGTTAGAGCCCTGGGGAGCAATAACTAGAATATGGTAGATCTCCAAGACATTTGATAATCTCCCTCGTTCAGGGGCTCCACACAAGATCTCACTCTGTGGGGTCAAATGATCACAAGAACGGTGAGCAAAAATCCCAGAACCACACAGGGACCTAGTGAATGACCTGCAGAAGGCTGGGACTAACGTAACAAAGA